AAAAAAAAAAAAAAAAAAAAAAAAAAAAAGAATTAAATGCACTGAAGATTTCAATGACCAAATCATGGAATTAATCGAGTGGCCAGGGAATGATATGAACATCATGCATGTTGAGTATAGATTTCTAATGCTGTCAAATCTCTCCTGGCCTCCCCTACACATTTGTGGGATATTTTAGATCTCAGTGACCTTTGAGGATGTGGCTGTGAACTTCATGCAGGAGGAGTGGGATTTGCTGGATTCTTCCCAGAAGAACCTTTACAGAGATGTGATGCTGGAAGTCCTAGGAAATCTGGCATCTATAGGTAATAATTTGTGTATTTATTTAATTAGAGAATTTGTGTTTATTTTTTTTATTCATGTAGAACATGAAAAGACAATCAGTTGGATAATTATTATAGCATAAAATGCACCATGAATTTGGAAATGCATTTGTAGTTCCTAGAAATTTATAACGTTTTGGTTTGACATTTTAGAAAACCAATGTGATGAGAAGAACATTGAAAATCAGATCAAAAATTCTGGGAGCAGTCTAAGGTAATTGTACTCACAAGAGGAATACTTGAGGGAATCTGGGGATGTCATATAATTTTTTAAACCAATGCAAGAAATTTGCACAACTTTAAAAGTATTTATTCTTATATATATAAAGATATTAAGATATTAAATCTATTCAAAGTTCTTGATATGCAAAAAGTATTGTGAAATTGCATATGTGAGTATAACTATTTGGGAGAGAATTTTAATATTTATGTGTTAGTTTTCGGCGGACCCAACATCTTTGTTTTGTATGTGGTGCTGAGGATCAATTGGGCCACATGCATGCCAGGCGAGCACGCTACCGCTTGAGCCACATCCCCAGCCCAACTATTTGGATAATGACCATAGGCAAGCTGTGTTGCAAAGCATTGTTTCCTCTCAATATCTTTATTTTCTGGCAATTTGTACAAGTTTGAAAAACCTAGGCTTTACCTCATTTTGGAAGTAACGTTTAACCTAGGACCTTAAATAAATACTACATCATGAATTAGTCAAGTATTAATAATGTGCTTGTCATTAGATATCAACTCTTAAGGAAAAAAAAATTTAATAGAGTAAATTCATGTGACTGCATTACGTGTGCCAAATACTTCATATGCCCTTCATTCCTTCATAGGCAGATCACATCTCAGTATGGACCCGAACGCTACAAGCATGAAGAATGCGAGGAGAAGCCATGTGAATTGAAACTATACAGGAAATCTCTAGTTTCTCTCAAAACTGTGAACACACACATGTTAACACAAACTGGAGATGGACCCTATGAAAGTACAGTATGTGGGAAAGTCATCAGTTGTTCGAATGACATTCAAAGGCATGAAGATTCTCATACTGAGTGTCAACCTGATGAATGTCAACAATGTGATGAAGCTTCATCTTCTCCCATAGATGTTCAAAGATACACAAGAACACATAGGGGAGGTAAAGCTTTTCAATGTGAGGTATGTGGGAAAGCCTTTCATTCCCCCACTTTATTTAGAAGACATGAAAGAACTCATTCTGGAGAGAAATACCATGAAAGTAAAGACGGTGATAAAACCATGGTTTCACCCAGAAGTCTTCACAGTCACGTGATCACGCACACTGGGAAAGTACTTTTTAAATGTAACGTATGTGGGAAAAACTTTGCTTACCGAAGTTTATTTAGAAAACATGAGAGAAAGCATACGGGAGAGAAGCCCTATCAATGTCAACAATGTGGAAAAGCCTATACTACTTCATCTTACCTTCAGATACATAAACAAATCCATGCTGGAGAGAAGCCCAATGAATGCCAACAATGTGGAAAAATCTTCACTTCTTCTTCTTCCCTTCACACACATGAACGGACTCATACTGGAGAGAAGCCTTTTGAATGTAATCAGTGTGGCAAAGCTTTTGCTCAATCATCTACCCTTCACAAACATAAAAAAACTCATACGCAAAAGAAACCCTATGAATGTCAAGAATGTGGGAAAGCCTGCAGTACTTTGTCTTACCTTCAGATACATGAACAAATCCATGCTGGAGAGAAGCCCCATGAATGTCAACAATGTGGAAAAGTCTTCACTACTTCTTCTTACCTTCAGATACATGAACGAACGCATACTGGAGAGAAGCCCTATGAATGTAAGCAGTGTGGCAAAGCCTTCACTCGGTCCACTCACCTTCACTCACATGAAAAAACTCATACTGGGGAGAAGCCCTATGAATGTCAACAATGTGGGAAAGCCTTCAGTACTTCTTCCTACCTTCAGATACATGTGCGGACTCATAGTGGGGAGAAGCCCTATGAATGTAAGCAGTGTGGCAAAGCTTTTGCTCAATCATCTAACCTTCACTCACATAAAAAAACTCATATTAGAAAGAAACACTATGAATGTCAACAATGTGGGAAAGCCTGCACTAGTTTGTCTTACCTTCAGAGACATGAACAAATCCATACTGGAGAGAATACCAATGAATGCCAACAATGTGGAAAAGTCTTCACTACTTCTTCTTCCCTTCACAGACATGTAAGAACACATACTGGAGAGAGGCCCTATCAATGTCAACAATGTGGAAAAGCCTACAGTACTTTATCTTACCTTCAGATACATGAAAAAACTCATACTGGGGAGAAGCCCTATGTATGCCAACAATGTGGGAAAGCCTTCAGTACTTCTTCCTACCTTCAGATACATGTGCGGACTCATAGTGGGGAGAAGCCCTATCAATGTAATCAGTGTGGCAAAGCTTTTGCTCAATCATCTAACCTTCACTCACATAAAAAAACTCATACGAAAAATAAACCCTATGAATGTCAACAATGTGGGAAAGCCTTCAGTACTTCTTCCTACCTTCAGATACATAAACGGATGCATACTGGAGAGAAGCCCTATGAATGTAAGCAGTGTGGCAAAGCATTTGCTGTATCGTCTAGCCTTCACTCACATGAAAAAACTCATACAAAAAAGAAACCCTATGAATGTCAACAATGTGGAAAAGTCTTCACTACTTCTTCTAACCTTCACAAACATGAACGAACGCATACTGGAGAGAAGCCTTATGAATATCAACAATGTGCAGAACCCCTTGACACATCCAGTGAACCTCACATACATGGAAGAATTAATGAAAAAGAGAAGCCTAATGAATACCAACTATGTGAAAAAGTCTTTTTCTTGCTTTTTCTTTCACAGACATGAAGGGACTCACATTCAAGAGAAACCCTATCAATGTAAGCAGTGTGCCAAAGCCTTCACTCAGTCCTCTCATCTTTGCTCACATGAACGAACTCATACTGGAGAGAAGCCCTTTGAATATCAACAATGGGGAAAAGCCTTTGTTATATCCCATTAGCTTCACTTACATGAACAAACTCATATTGCAAAGAAATTGTACTGATGAAAACAATTGGCAAAGTCTTCTGTTATTACTGTTCTTCTCATCAACATGTTGGAAGTTTACTGGAGAAAAATTCTTTAAATGTGAAATGTGGTGGATCAATATTTCTTGTCCCCTTCAAACAAAAAGAAGGGGCTCACTCTGCTGAATATTGTACTGGGGATTGTACTGCAAATTTGGTCTGGTGGCACTCAACCACTGAGATACATCCTCATGCTTTTTTATATTTTTAATTTTGAGACAGTGACTTTCTGAGTTCCTTAGGGTTCTAAAATGCTGAGGCTGGCCTCAAACTTGTGATCCTTCAGCCTAAGCCTGAAGGATTAAAGGCATACATCACCACATCTGGCTGAATAACTGTTTAAATGTGAAAAAATATGGCAAATCATTTTATTTTACCTGTTGTCTTCAAAGCCATTTCCCTCACTGGAAAACAAACAGTCTGAATTGGGACGATTTGCTATACTCTATCAGCTTTATGTTCTAGACCTATTTTTCTTCTCTTTTATGAAAATTCTCATAGAGTGAAGCCCTATGAATGTGAAAAATGTGGGAAATCTTTTAATTTTTGCAACTTCTTCTGAATACTAGATTGTTTTGGAAAGATTCATGCCAAAATGAATAAATCCTATGCAAGTAAGAAATACAAAGGATTCAGATGTTTTAGTTTTGTTCAGTTGTATTAAAAAAAAAATAGTGTAGAAAATCCTGTGGATAAGCAATGTCGGGCGGTACTTAGTTTTGACAGTTTTATTCAAAGACATAAAAGGATTTACATCTGGGCTGGTGATGTGGCTCAAGCGGTAGCGTGCTCGCCTGGCATGCATGCGGGCTGGGTTTGATCCTCAGAACCACATACGAAGATGTTGTGTCTGCCGAAAACTTAAAAATAAATAAATAAATAAATAAATATTTTTAAAAAATTGTTTGAAAAAAGGATTTACATCTGTGAAAACCCGTCTGCTACTTATGTATTTATTTTGGATAAAAAATTGCAGCAGAATGCATTACAATTTTTATTACACATATATACCACAGTTATTCATTTCTGTTTGTATATAAAGAATTTTGACATCCAATTCATGTCTTTGTACATGTACTTTGTATAATGATGTCCATTACATTCCACCATCCTTGCTAATCCTCTGTCCCCTCCTTTTCCCTCCCAGTCCTCTGCCCTATCTAGAATTCATCTTATCCTTCCATGATTCCCCTATGTACCCCGTATGAGTCAGCCTTTTTATATCAGAGAAAACATTCCAACATTTGTTTTGGGGGGATTGGCTAACTTCACTTAGCATTATCTTCTTCAATGTCATCTATTTACCTGCAGATGCCATGATTTTATTTTCTTTTTTATTGCTGATTTAAATTCCACTTTGCATATATGCCACTTTTTTTTTTTTTAATCCATTCCTCCACTGAAGGGCATCTACGTTGACTCCACAGTTTAGCTCTTGCCAAATGTGCTGCTTTAAACATTGATGTGGCTGTGTCCCTGTAGTATGGTGTTTTTAAGTTCTCAGGGTATAGTCTGAGGAGAGGGATTGCTGGGTCAAATGGTGGTTTCATTCCCAGATTTCCAAGGAATCTCTACACTGCTTTCCAAATTGGCTGCACCAATTTGCAGTCCCTCCAGCAAGGTAAGAGGGTACCTTTTCCCCAGCATGCTCACCAACACTTATTGTTGTTTGTCTTCATAATAGCTCTCATTCTGACTGGAGTGAGATGATAGGTTAGAGAAGTTTAGATTTGCATTTCTCTAATTGCTAGAGAGGGTAAGCATTTTTTCTTATACATGTTGATTGATTGTATATTCTCTTCTGAGAAGTGTCGGTTCACGTCCTTGGCCCATTTGTTGATTGGGTTATTTGGTTTTTGGTGCTTAGCTTTTTGAGTTCTTTATATACAATAGAGATTAGTGCTCTGTCTGATGTGTGAGGGGTAAAAACTTGTTCCCAGGGTGTAGGCTTTCTGTTCACCTCACAGATTGTTTCTTTTGCTGAGAAGAAACTTTTTAGGTTGATTCCATTCCATTTATTGATTGTTGGTTTTAATTCTTGGGCTATAGGAAGTTGGGGCCTAATCCCACATGATGAATATTACAGACTATTTTTCTTCTATTAGATGCAGAGTCTCTGGTTTAATTCCTAGGTCCTTGGTCCATTTCAATTTGTACTTTGTGCATGGTGAGACCTAGGGATTTCATTTTATGTTGTTGCTTATGGATTTCCAGTTTTCCTAGCACAATTTGTTGAAGATGCTTTTTTCTCCAGTGTATGGTTTTTGCACCTTTGACTAATATAAGATAATTGTAATTTTCTGGGTTAGTGTCTGTGTCCTCTATTCTGTTCCATTGGTCTACCAGTCTGTTTTGGTGCCAACACCATGCTGTTTTTGTTACTATTTCTCTGTAGTATAGTTTAAAATCTGGTATAGAGATGCCACCTACTTCAGTCTAAGGATTGTTTTAGCTATTCTGCATGTCTTATTTTTCCAGATGAATTTCATGATTGTTTTTTTCTATTTTTAAGGGAATGCCTTGGGGATTTTGATGGGAATTGCATGATATCTGTATAATGCTTTTGGTAGTATGGTCAGAGAGGGTCTCTTGGGGCTGCGGTTGTACCTCAGTGGTACAATGCCTGCCTCACACACATGAGGCACTGGGCTCGATCCTTAGCACCACATAAAAAGAAACAAATAAAGATTGTATTATCTACAACTAAAAACAATAAAAAGAGAGGGTCCCACTGTTTGCAGACGCTGACCTGACCTTGGGCTCCTCCAGCCCCAGCCTCCCTGAGAAGCTGTGCTTTGTTTTTGTGTTGAGGTTAAACCCAGGGCCTCCCATGCTCAGAAAGTACTCTATGGCTGAAGCCCAGCTCAGCTCCAGTTGTCACCTCTGTCCCAGAGGCTAAGCCAAGGCTTCCGCCTGGATTAGTTCCCAGCACAGCCGGGAAGCTCCTTCTGAAAAGGGCTGGCACCAAGAATCTGTCACTAACCCAATTTATACCAGTGATTGGATGATGCAGGCTGTCAGTCACGATGCAGAGGCGGGCCTGGAGGGCATCCATCCCGGATGCTGGGGGAACTGCCCAATCAGTGCGCAGAGGGAGAGGAAGGGCGGGCTTCCGAAATCTCCTTTGCTTTTCTTCCTCAGGGACTGGGCTTCTCATCCTTCAGGCCCAGAGTTCTCTGCTCAAGGGTCTCAGGTGACGCTGCTGCCTGTGACCCCCCCACACCCCCATCTCGGGTGCCTGAGGTTCCTCGAGAGGACGCCGGGTCACCACAGAAGACAAAAATGGTGAGTTTGCGACCAGGGCTGAAGGTACACGTCACCACCTGCCTTGGGGCCAGGTGCCCTGGTGAGCTGGTGAGCTGGGGAGTCGTGGCCCTGTCCCTTGGTCTCGTGGGGTGAGCTGGGTTTTGGGTTTTTGAGGTGAGCTGCTGAGCGTGGCAGAGTCCCCGCTGGAGGGTGGACCTGTCCCCTGGTTCCCTGGGTTTGGAAGGGCGGCTCAGGTCCCTGGTGTCCCCTTTGCTCCCTACTGGTGGCCCGACCCACTATTCCCAACGTGGAGGAAGCGGGGCCACAAATGCACCCTCCTTCTCCCTGGGGAGCTCCTCCGGAGGCTGCTGTAGGTCCTCCAAATTGCAGGCGCCTCCTGCCTTCTAAACCCACCTTCCCTCCACCTCACAGCTCGGCCAGACGTCCGTTCTTCCCACTCGGTCCAAATGGACACCGTCCGCTAATTGTCACTTTTCATCTAGTGAAATATTGGAGAGAATAGTTCTTTTCTTTTAATTGGGGACCCAAACTCGGGGAATTTTATCAGCCACATCCCCAGCCTCCACTTTTACTGAATTCTGAGATCTGCACCCACTTGGTGTGGAAGCTGGTCTCCAACCTGTGATCCTTCTGTTACCGCTGTTTACCAGTGACGAGTCCTTGCTTCCCCGAATGCTGAAGTATGTCACCAGAGAAGCACGCTGAGGCAAGTGGAGGGGAAAGTAGAAGGTTTATTAAAGGACAGCAGAAAAGACTTCTCCCCGCAGGAAGAAGCGGATCCAAGAGGTGGAATCCCTGTAAGGGGAAGGTCTTCCCTCTTTTATAGCTAAAGTCTTCTTTCCACTTTCCCACACTTTCTCATTATGTTGCAGTGATAGAATGCAGGTGGGAAGGTCCAAAAGGTGGGAGATTGGTGGGCTGGAGGAGTAATCTGGGAAGGAAGGGCCAGGGATGGCTTTTGGATTATGATTAAGAGTTCCTTAGAATGGATTCTTGTGTTGAGGAAATTAAAATTTCAATTGCTGCTCTGGTTTCCAGGACTCCATTCTCTATAATGGCCTCTGTTTTATTTATCTTACACAATATTAGACCCAATTTGCCTAACTACCTATCTGTAAATCTGGCTTCACTTCTGCTTCAGCCTCCAAAGTTCCTGGGATTACAGGGCTATGTGGAGGGGGCAAAACTGTGACTTATGCAGTCAAGGGGAGAAATAAAGGATGTCCACACAGTTCTGCCCCTTTCAATGCTCTATTCACTCAAATTACTCAATACAGTTTAACTGTATAGGTTCTTACTCAAGAAAACAACAATCCTTAGTGCTAGGCATTGCCATAGACATAATCAATTCACAGCAAACAATTATAGGTTAATTAATTCACGGCAAACAATTCTAGATTCATTCTAAGCACTGCGAAATACACTTAATCATGATAAACTTATGACAGACATTCCCTCTGCATGCTAAGTTCAAAGGTCTTATGTCTTAGGCTTTGAGTCCAGCAGAGGCACACTCACTCAGATCTCAGTGACCAGGTCTCGAACCAAGGCAGGCTTTTCCTGGTGTGGAGCAGAGGACCCATTGAGGAGGGGGTCTAGGGAGGAGTTGCAGCTCTCACCAAGGTGCAGAAGAGGCAGTAGAGTTTGAGAGTAGTGAGGATCACACAGAGACTCAGGAAAGATGCCAAGTGATGGGATGTCAGGTCCTCAGCAGGCTCTCCAGCTTAAGTGCATCTTTGTTTCTGATGCCTGAATTCCTGTTCATCAGCTCTATCATTTATACTAAATTTGGGGGCTTTTGATCATGCTTTCAATCCTTATCAGCTACCACCCTATTTCTCAGTGACATCATTTACCCTGGGATCATCTCCACCCTGATCTTCTTGCCTTTCCCTCTTATCAGGCAAGGATGGCCTGCCAGATGCTTTACTCTCTTTATCAGGGTGAGGGGAAGGAGCTTGTTTGATGCCTTACTGGAGGGATCTGTGGATGTGCCTGGTGAAACTGCAGGTCTTTTAAAATGGAGTTGCTTAGGCTTAGGCCTAAGGCCATTATAATAAGGCTCCCGCCACTGTCCCTGGTAAGAAGATCACTTTTGAAAGCATTTGTTTTCTATTTATGAATATTATACTTGAGGGGAAAGAATAATCACTTAACAGTTCCCTGTGTTTGGTCAAAATAAGTACTTTAAAAGGAAAACATAGATCCTAGGAATATTGAATCTTGGGCTATGTACTCAGCCCCCCTCCGTACTTTGACATATATTATTTATTTACGTAAATTTGTTTTTATTAGTTATATATGGCATTATAATGCATTTTGACACGGTACACATAAATAGAGTGTAACTGCTCCTTTTTCTGGTTGTACTTGATGTGGATTCACACCAGTCCTGTAGTCATATATACACACAGGATAATAGTGTTTGATTCATTCTTCTGTTCTTCATCCCCAACTCTTTAAATTTGATTTTCAGATGGGGTCTCGCTATGTTTCCTATCCTGGCTTGTAAGTCATGACCCTCCTGCTTCAGTTTCTCAAGGTGTTGACATTAAAGGCACTGGCATCCCAGCAATGAAAAATAGTTCATTTTGATCCAAATATTAATGACCATACTCAGGAACATGGGTTCAAGTAACCCTAAATGATGTATGTGTCCCACCCTGAAAGACAAGGTTTGAACCCAGGGGCACTTAATCACTGAGCCACAATCAGTCCTTTTTAGATTGTATTTTGAGACATGATCTCATCAATTTCCTTCTGGCCTCACTAAATTGCTGAGGCTGACTTTGAATTCAGCAATCTTCCTACCTTATCCTTTCAAGCTACTTGGATTACACTTGTGTGGCACTGAGCCTTTCCTACATGAACTTTTATAAAAGAAACTGTGTATCACTACATTAACCAATTGCATTTGTAGGATCATCAGATTCATGGGCTACAGAAAAAGAAAGAAATGAAGGAAGAAAAAAGAAATTTCTTCTGTCTGTAGTTATTATATTCTTACTTTGGTAGATGGTGGGGACTAGATGTCTGGTAAGAGTAGTGATATATTCTGAGAAATTTAATAGTTTTGAGAATTGTGGTCTGATACAGAAATTAAAATAATTGGCTATTAAAGGGCTTAAGATAGCCCAAGATAATTTTTGCTCTCCATACAGAACCCTGCCTTTCCACCCTCATGGTGGACTGGTTAGCCAAGTCAAGTACTCTGAAGGTTGTTTGATGTAGATGCAACTATATAGAGAACTTGAGTTCACAGCTGTAAAAATATTGTGCTTCTCCTTTTATCTTCCTTAGGTGTAGACACCATGTCAGATTTCTTAAGCAGAGGTTCCCTTTGGATGTCTCACAGGTTCCTATGTCCTCAGCCACTGTCCTGTCCTGGAGCTGCCACAAGGTGCCCACAGCTGCGCTGGTCCCTGCAGGGTGAACAGAACTTCAGGCCCTGGGTCAGCTCATCCTAGAGGACAGCCTGAGGTGTGGGGTGCAGCCTCTCACAGAAGCCGCTGGGGGCTCTGGGCTGAGGAATCTCCTGGAACAGCCCTCATCTAGACAGGTACTTCGTTGGGAATTTTCTATTCCCAAGCTCTGTTCCCATTTTTTGGAAACAGGTGGCCAGTCAGCCTGTGGATGCTGGTGCTGAGGGGCCAGGTCACCAGTGATTCCTGCCCTTTTAGTCTCACAGTGTGAAGGAGCAAAACCTCTCCCAGAGCATAAGCAACACCCACCCCAGTACAGAGCTGTGCAAACCTGAAAAGCCTCCTAGACTGGAGTCATGGTCCAGGTCCCTGGGAGGGTGATTCTAGAGGCTTTCAGGAAGCAAGACCAGGAGAGGTCATGTCCCAGCTGTCAGGGCCCTTCCCTGCCCTTTGAGCCTGATACATGTGTGCTCCCTCAGCACCAAAGCTCTCTGTGTATCACTTTGAAATGATCTGCTCACTTTTTTGAGGCCCAGGTTTATTTTTTCAGAGCCAAATGGGAAGGACTATTATTAAATAGGCAAGAAAGAAGTGGATTTGAAAAAGTCTAGTTACATTTCCATTGTGAAAACAATTACAGCCAGGTACGGTGGTGCACACCTGTGATCGTTGCTTTTCCAGAGGCTGAGGCAGGAGGATTGCAAACTTGAGGACAGCCTTAGCGACTTAGCCAGGCCTTATGTCTGGGGATGTGACTCATCAGTAAAGTTGCTCTGGGTCAAATTTCTGATCCTAAACCAAAAAAAAAAAAAAAAAAAAAAAAAAAAAGAAAGAAAAAACAGAAAAACAAACAAAAAATAACATCTGATTTACCTTTTGCTTCCCCTGAATATGCAT